GGGGTTTGCAACTAGAATTGTGGAATGAGTTAAGTTTGTAAATTGAGATACCGTTGTAGTTTCTTATAATCTGCAGTTCAGTGGTGTTTGTAATTTCACTTTTTTTGTTTCTAACTGCATCGATGTGGGTCTTTTCTGTTTTGTAAATTTGGCGAAGAGTTTATATTATTTATCCTTTCAAAGAACCAACTCTTTGGTTCATTGATCCTTTGTGTTGTGTTTTAACCTTTTTCACTCTGATCTTTATATAATTTATTTCTTTATGTGTAGTTTTGGGTTTGGATTGTTGGGTTTTTTTTTTGGTAGGGCCAAGTTGTGTCATTAGGTTATTTATTTGGAATCGTTTTGTTTTTCTAGTGTAGGCATTCACACCTATGAACTTCACTTTCCCTATGTCTGACAGATTCTGATATGTCATGTTTCCAGTGTCATTTGAGTCTAGAAAATTTTAAATTCTCAGATTTCTTTTATTATCCATTGATCGTTCAAGAGGTATTATTCAGTCTCTGTGTTTATATGGTCTACATGTTTTTTGTTTTTACTGTTGATATTTAGTTTCATTTTATTATGATTGATAGACTATAAGAGATGATTTTATTTCTTTTGTAGTTATTGAGACATGCTCTGTGGCTTGAAATATGGGGTCTATTTTGAATAAAGTTCCATGGGTGGCTGACTAGAATGTATATTCTGTTGTAACAACAGATGAAGTGCTCTGTAGATATCTGCTAAATCCACTTATATGATGTCTTTTAACTCTGATATTTCTTTGTTAATTTTTTGTCTGGTTGAGCTATCTGTTTGTGAAAGTGGGGTATTAACCCCCACCCCCACTACAGTTGTATTGGTTGGTATTCAGCTGCCCTTTTGTATCAAGTAGTTTTTTGTTTTAGGAAATTAAGTACATCAACATTTGCTGCATATATGTTTACAATTGTTCTTGCAGTGAATTGTTCCTCTTACCAATGTCTTTGTCTCATCAGTTTTGATTTAAAGTCAACTTTATGAGAAATTAGAATAACTACTCCTGCTTGCTTCTGGGCCCTGGCTACATGAAGTATCATTTTCTATAGGATAACTACTTTTAAAACAACAGAAAATAACAAGCATTGATGAGGATGTGGAGATATTGGTATCTTGGTGCACTGTTGGTGATGAGATTGTTATAATGGTGCAGTGATGGTATGGAAAATAATATAGTTCTTCACAAAATTAGAGCTGTTGTGTGATTCTCTTCCTGGATCTATATCCAAAAGAATTGATAACAGGTTCTTGAAGAGATTTGCACAACATATTGTTATGGTTTAGGTCCAAAATGTTCCCTAGAAGTTTCATGTATTCAGAGATTGTATTATGGGGGCACCATACTTACCTGTGTGTTGATCTATTGCAGACTTTATAACTTACTGTGCTGTTAGGAGGTGGGTCCTAGACAGAAGAGGTGGTCACTGAGGGCATGATATGGAAGGAGTATTATTGTCCCAGATCCTCCCTTCTCTCTGCTGCTTGGCTGCCATGGGACAAGCAGCTTTCCTTTTTCATGCCCTTCCCCCATGGCATTTCTGCCTTGGAGCCAGCCAACCATGGACTGAAACTGTGACCCAAAATAAACCTCACTTCCCTTAAGTTGTGAGTATCAGATATATTTCCACTGACAGGAAACTGACTAATACACATGTTCAATAGCAGCATAATAGCAATTGAGTGGAGAGAACCCCAAACTAACATTTCAGAGTATCTCACCTGCATTGCTTTGCCCCAGATGAGAAGAGAAAGGATCATTTGGGTCCTTTATTGGGGAAAGAAAAAACCTACAGAGAACTCAGGATTTTTCTTAAGGGCTCTGCTAACTATTCTTAAAAGCTATAACTCAAGTGTTTGGCCTTTCACATTTTCCAATATGGGCTGCTAATGCTTTGAGACTCTGGGACTCCCTACTTCATATTTACTTAAATAGCTTTTTAGTTGACTGGTAAAGATTAGTTGATTCCCATCGGGACAAGCTTGTTAAATAGTGATCTAGCCAGCTCCCAGCATTTATCCTCTTCAAGATTCCTTAGAATTTGTAAGTTACTGAACCTTTGGATAGATAGAAAGTTTTCCACTCCTAGGATTACTGCATGTCCTCTCTGAACCTAGATTCTCTCAGTTTTCCAGAAATTATTTAGGTTTACAAAGTACAGTGGACCCCTAAATTTGCAGGGGGTTACATTACTATAGAGCACCTGCAAATTGTGAAAAATAGCAAATTTCCGATATGATCAGAAAACTGTCTATAAATTCCTGTTTTTATAGTTTAAACCGTAAATATGCTGTCTCCTGCAGTTATGTAATTTAACTTAATACTATTAATAAAACCTTAGGTACAGGACATTTTGTCAGCATCTTAGGGATTTTCAGGATTTAAGAAGAGCAAAAGAGAGAACACTTGATAGCTACACGAGGTACAGCAACCTGTTAGGATGTGGGAAGATGGGATACAAGGCAGCAGCCAATCAGCAGTAAGGAGAACTGAATAATGCTCTCAAATTGGTTACTTACAAACCTCCCACCAAAAAAATAATGGTGGAGGATATTTGTGATTTCCAAGAAATTGCAGAAATTTCCACAAACAATTATTAGGTTGTACAGAAGGATCTGTGAATGAATTTATAAGTGTCCTCATGTAATCTGGCCTTTTATGGCTACTTTTATATAGCACAATAACCATTACGTGTATATGGGAGTTGATGACTCTAAGCTGTTTTAAAATTTTTATCTTTGTGGAAGAAATAATAAACAAATCACAACTTGAAGATCATAGTGACATCGTTGATTTAGGCTAAGATCAATGGAAAGTTGATTAACATCTTTACAGTGTGGGATTCAGGTTGGCATTAACTGAGCCAACTCAAAATGGAACCAATGTACATAATATGCTTTATGATAGGATGCAGTATAGAGTACAAAGCAGAGGTGAGTCTGAATTTAAATTCAAGATCACAGAAAATACAAAAGTAAATTAAAAATAGCAAGAAAACAGACAAATCCAGAGTGTAAGACATTCTACAGGACAACAGACCTGGTTACTTCAGCAAGGCATCGGGGTGAAAGGGAGAGAATATTCTATATTAGAATAGATTGAGTGGGTAGACAGTGATGCTCAGAAACTCTTAGTATTGCTGCTTAGGATGATAACATTGCTGTGTGAGGAAAATGTATTACAGTAAAAGACACATTGCCATTCATCCCTCTCTTAACGCATCCCTTGCTTCAAGCACACTCCTTATTCTTGCCACTTTTTGAAGCTGTTCTGGAAGTACTCTTGTGTGACTATCTTTAAGAGATATGATCAAAAATACTGTGACAGCTGCTGCTGAGTGCCATCCAGCAAGCAGGCACACTTATAAAAATCATTACGCTCTGTCCTCATCCACCTTACTCACCAGATCTAAAACTGTGTAACTGTTGGCTCTTCCACAGAGTCAAAATGACCATGAAAGAGAAATGTTTTGTATATATTGAGACATTGAGGCAGCCATAACAGCTCCCGTAGACACAAAAGACTTCAGAACAGCTTCAGATAGTGGCAAGAATGATGGGTTAAGTGTTCAACGTAAGGGCAACTCTTTTGAGGGGAATTAATGGCAGTGTGTTTTTTACTGTAATTCTTTTAAAATGTAAGCATTCACTATATTTTGATCACCCTTGTACATTCTAATGTGGGAGTATAATAATTTGATGGCAGGGCTGGGGATTTAGCTCAGTGGCACAGTGCCTACCTGGCAAGCACAAGGTCTTGAGTTCAATTCCCGGTACCGGAAAAAAACCAAACCAAAAAAAATAATAATAATAATTTGATGGCTTGGATTCTTTTTAATGTACCACAAAAAAAGGAAGATGTCTTCCAATTGCTGCAACAAAATACTAGACACCCACACTTACTTTAGCTCACAGTTTCAGACCATGGTCAGTACCTTGAGGCACGAAATATATGGCAGAGGAAAAGGTGATCAACCCAGGAAGCAAAGAGGAGGGAGGAGCTGCGGACAGTAGTACACCCCAGTAAGCCACCTCCAAGCAGGCTGCTCTTCCTAGCAGCACGTTCAGCTACTGAGCTCATCACTGGATAAATCCACTGGTGAGTCCTGCACCCCACAGTCTAATCACCTTCCACACCTGGATCGTGGGGGACATTTTTGATCTAGACTCTAACAAAAGTAAGGAGAAAGAAAGATGGTGAACAAGTGTATCAAAAATATTGGAAATGTTTGAGTGATAGTTTACTTTCTATAAAAATACATTTCATATACATAAGTAGGTACATATTATGTGGACAGTGGATTTTCTTTTCCTTTAATGCTTTTTATATGGTGTCAGTTTTGGAAATAAACATGTACCTATTATTAAACACATGAAAGTGTTTTGTAGGAATATAAGACTAACTTATTTACACTTAGTCTTCAGGGTTTCTAACAAGGCATGGGTTTTTGATCCACACCTTCCCCACAGAAGGATCATTGCTTAACTAGCAGTGTAGGTAGTGCTGCTTTTCCAAGGGAGCAGCCACACTTTCATATTATTTCATTGGTTTATATCAGCCCATGCAGGACAGAAAAGAATTTGTGGGAAATAGAGAAATGTCTTAGATGAATTCAGCTATGAAATAAAGATTACTCATGGGAAATTAGAATGAGTAATGGTAATAGCAAGCAATTACTCTTTGCTTGCTATATGCCAGGTAAGCGCTTTTTCTAAGCGCTTTATATATACATATAATTTAATCTGCACAACAACCCTATGAAGTAGATTGTATGGCTGTAGCGATTTCTTTGACGAAACAGAGGCACGGTGAAGTTAGTGACCTGAGGTCAACAACATGTGCCTGGAGGGGCAGGTATCAATTGACTCTTAGTTTCAACACGGCAGTGTTCCTTTAAAGGTGGTTGTTGCACAGAATACCAAGAATCTGGTGCAAAAGATGAAGCAATAGAAGCCTTACAGTATGTAATCTGCTTTAGGTGAAGATTCTGAAAATGATTCTGATTTTGATGAGAGTGAAGATGAGGAAGACTTCACTATAACAAAAAGGAAAGTAAAAGAAAATAAAAAGAAAGAAGTGAAGGTAAAATCCCCAGTAGAAAAGAAAGAGAAGAAATCTAAATCCAAATGTAATGCTTTGGGTAAGCTTGGTGCAAGACATTTAATTTTATAAAGGAAATGTGTTTGATTTGCCATATTTTTAACATTTTGCTAATGTTAATTTCTAGTTAAAATATAAATGGAGACATGATAGGGGTGGGGAACAGAAGACAGCTGGGGACACTAAGCCTCATTAACAGTGTAGTACCTGGTGTGTCTGACTGGCCTTTAGAGCTCTCTGCCACCCCGGTGAGCACTCAGTCACCTGCATGCAGACAGGGAGAAAGAAGAGGCTCAGACAGGTTACGTGTTTGTTGAAATCTTGCCTCTTAGATCCCAGAGCTGTCCACTCAGTTCGGGCCCCACATGTTCTCTGGACAGATTAAACAGGGACATGTGATTCTTAGTTGTAGTTCTCATGCTTGATCCAGTCTTTATTTGAGAGTTCCTTGGTCATGTGTTTAGGACACTTTCTGTTTTTTAGGTTTTTCCCCCAAAATAGGTCCAATTAGAAGCCATTTTATGGAGTAACTTTTCCAATTTGTGAAAATTTGATGATGAAATACCTGTTTCTTGTTGTTAAAGAAGTTACAATATTTTTGAATTCATAATGTATGATAGATTATTGGGGGTTTTTGGTTTTGTTTGTTTTATTTATGGGTAGAAATTTTTGTGCCTTAGTTTTTAAATAGATATTTAATTGAAACTAAAATTTTCCTGACTCAGACTTGTTTTAATAAGAGTTCCTCTCATCCTTAGTAACAAGGTGCTAAATATCAAGAAGGAAAATTTAAATGCTCATAGACATATTCTCCCCTATGCTCTATTTTTAGTTAATGAGGTTTTAATTAGAATTTTTTAAAACTATTAACAAATTTGGTGCTTTCCACAAATTAGATTTTAAATGTAGGAACTTCTGGAGATGAAGTATGTATTAGGTTCCTATTCCTGTTACAATAAATTACCACAAACTTAGTGACCTAAAACAACATGTATTTGTATTTTGTAGTTCCAAAGGCCAGATGTGCAAAAACAGCCACAACCCAGCTATCTGCAGGGCTGTATCCTTTGCCTGTGGCCAGAGAGAGAATCCATTTCTGGCCTTTCCAATCTCTAACGGGAGCCCTGCGGACTGTGGCTCACGGCTCATTTCCATCTGGCTTTCTCTTGTTGTGTCACTCTGACTCTGTTTCTTACTTTTAGGTGTTTAAGCACTGGGGATTATACTGCACCCATTCACATAGCTCAGGAGAATCTTCCCAGAGCCTTAGCTTATGTCTGTAGAGTCCTTTTGCAATGGGAAGCGTACTCACATGTTCTAGAGGTTAGGACACAGATGCATCTTTGAGGGGTCATTATTTTGCCTACTACAAGATGTAATGTGAAAAAGTCATTAACGGTATGAATATATATATATTTTTTTTTTTTTTTTTTTTTTTTTTTGTGCTTTTTCAGTAAGACACACTCAAAAGTTCAGTTTCCAGGTTGAAATTTGCTATTTAAAGCCTTTTCTATATACCTTGGAGCAAGTTGCTTTATAAGGGACATTAATATATAATATTGGAAGTAAAATTTGTTAAGTAATAGGATTAGGAATTGGGAAAATTGATTATATTTTTAGTCGTACTAATAATTTGTTGAATAACCTTTGAGAGTCTTTTATCCAGCACACATTATTCTCCCTTGATAGAGAAATTTTGAAAACAGTACTGTCCAGTGTGGTAGCCAGTAACACTTGGCTGTATTACATTTAAGTTAAAATTAAATAAAATTTGAAAATCAGCTTCTCAGTTTTGCTAGCCATATTTCAAGTACAAAGGAACTATATGTGGCTGCTGCATTGGATAACACAAAGTACAGGAAATGTCTGGCATCACAGAAGGTTCTGTTGGAAAGGGCCTATCCAGCAGGTACAGGTATAACATTAGGAAGAGTATACAGTGAGGGGCCGGGGATGTAGCTCAGCACTGCAGTGCCTGCCTGGCAAGCATGAGGCACTGAGTTTGATTCCTGGTACCAAAAAAGAAAATAAGAAAAAAAATTTCAACAGAAGAGTGTACAGTGAAATCGTTCCTATTCATAGTCACTTAAAAAGCAGCCTTTTCTGAATGTGCGTTTATATTCCCTGTCTTGATCCACCCTCACCCCCTCCCAGACTCCTCATGGCCTGCAGAGTTCTTTATAAGTGACTGTGCCCAGACTGTATCATCTTCTCCTGTCCTTAAGATTTCTATCCCAGTACTGGCCCTGGAACTTCTCATTGTTCCTTCTACCTAGAAAACTTCCCTTAACTCTTGAGTCTTGGTTTGGCTCAGCTACCTCACCCTCCTTCCCAGTGACTTCTAAATACATATACCAGATTAGAAGTTCCCTTTACCTCTAGAGTGTGACATGCCCCTTAGCAAGCTGCATTAGACACAACTCTTTTCTCTCCTGTCCTTTTCCCTGGAGTCCAGTGGCAGGAGCATAAATTTCTTGAGGGCAGGACCCATGAGTTGTATATTTTCTTTGTAACTGCAGAGCCTACTGTGACATTAATGAGACGGTTGTGAAGTGATCATAAATATAGATTCCACAGTCAAACCTGGTTTCTGTTTCCTTATCTAACAGTGAGCATAGAAAAGTCTGCCTTGAAGTTGTAAAGGGTAAAAGGTAACAAATGTGAGATTACATCGCCTGGCATATAAATGCTTGTAAAAGATAGCTGTCCTTAGGCTTTTGATAAATGTTTATTGTCTAATCAGAGTTTACCAAGTTTATGATACTGCCTTTTTAATTTTTCATAAGATTATGAAACTTTATAATTTTTACATGTACATGCTACACTTAAACTTTATCTTCCTATATGACAGACTTCTTTATGTATATTTTTCAAATAAGTGACTACAGTAGACTCTTCTCCAGCTACAATCAAATCAGAATTTCAGTCCTCACCAAAGGAGGTTTCTTCTTCAGAGGCCACTAGGAAACCATTACAGATACGTAGTCCCTCAGCTGAAAGCAGGAGACCAAAGTGGGTCCCACCAGGTATGGTATATTTACGGTCACAGGGAGGGTCTTAGAGATTTTATACTGGTGAAGTTTCTCCTAGTTAATAAGTGTTACATATGAGCATTTTCCCATATAATTACACATTCTTCAAAACCAATGTTTTGAGTTGCTGCGTTTATTAACATTTGACCACTGTTATTGTTAGGCAATCAGGTTGTATATAATTTATTTGTTATAAATAAGGTTGCGATAGAAAAAAATCCTTATTTTAGAAATCTGTGGGTCTTTGCTATGAAACTCCTGCTAGTATAATTACAGTGTCAAAGAGTGTGAATTTGGCATTCCTGACATACACATTTCTGGCAACAAATCTTTTGCCCAGAACCTGCTGGTCTCCACATTCTTACTGAAGCCTTGAGGCCTATCCATGGCAATTCAGACGTTTAATGAATGCCTGAGCAAAGTCAGCCTCTGATTCTTAGAAACTTTTTTTTGTTTTCTTTGCATTCATAGCCAAGTCTCACCAATTCTTTAAAATTTCCTTGGACTTTACCTTCTTGGTATTATTAAAATCCTAATCCAGGGCCACATAATTGTTGCCTTCCCCCCTAGTCCTGTACCTGCTTTTCTCAAGCTAAATGAACCCTCTACTTCAATGAAATGGATCCATGTTTTGTCTCTTGTACACATTGTATGTCATCCTTTGTGTGGGTCTCTATCAGTTTCCTCTCTGGTATGTCTTTCTTCATTTGTCCCCTCTGCTTTCCTGTGTTCTTCCCAACCCAGCACATTTCCTTTGCCCCTTTTGAGTGACCTTTCTTGAATGGCCCACACTGGTCACTCCATAGCGGTAACCAGTACAAACACCCAGAATTAGCCTTGGCAGTAAGGCTGCATGAATATGTAGTCTGTCTGGATCTTCATTTCATCATTGGGAATGTCAGGGAATAATATCAAATTCAGAGTCCTCCCTGATTTAAAAATTCTAAGATTTTTTAATAAGGACTTAAAGACTATTTTGGAAAAGGAAGAGAAAGTTACCAACATAGTGACACCATATCATTCAAAGAGTTTCTGAGAATAATTAGTGATTACTCAGTGAAAGAAATTATGATGATTACAGAAATTAAAAAGCATAATCAAAAAGATAAAGAGGACATAATGGAATATGGATGAAAAGTTAATATAATGCAGACAGTGCTTCCTGTTCCAGTGTGTGTGATGGGGTCAGACAGTGTTGTGAATGAGTGAAGTGGGCCCTGTGATAGAACTGAGTGGGGCTGTGTTGGACTTGAGAGTGCATATCCCCTTTGAGGACACAGAGCTGCCCAGCACCATCTGACTGTTTCCATGTTTGCATGCAGGGTAATGGGCCTGGTATTTTCAGATTGGATGAAGAGAAGCTAGAAATTCAGATTTTAATGTGAAACCTCATTTTTAAAATTTTACCCTTTTTTTAACACCATGTGGACCAAATATTATGTCTTAGAGCTGGATTTGGCCCTCAGCTCTCCAGTTTGTTACTTGTCTTACACAAAAAGAGAAAATGGTCAAGATCCCAAAGGGAAAATGAGCAAGGAACATACATATACCAATGCCCCCCAGGAAGTGCAGCTGTAACATATGAAGTCTCACTGGTAATGAGGGAAAACTATTTGCCATGTAAAATTTTATTTAATAATTGAAAAATAGACTCTTTACAAGGAGTACTTGTAAAACTTGCAGGACTTTAAAATATACATTAGATTTTTCTATTACTTTAGAAATTATACTTGGATATATTTCTTTATGCCTGTACAACCAATGTTATTTGCTCCAAGTTTCTTATTTTAGTTGTCATGGTTAAGTTTTGGTTAATTATCTTGACCTTAGGATGGTTGAAATGAGGCAATACAAGTTGATTATCCCTTGCTCAAAATGCTTGGGACCAGAAAGTATTTCAGATTTCAAAGTTTTTCAGGGTTTTGATTTTCAGATTAAGGATGTTCAACTTGTATTCTTTCTGCAGTTTAAGTACTTGCCATACTTTTGATTTAGTTTATTCCTTGATAGACCCTGGAAAGCAGAGTGATGCTTGACTACTTTATTTCCCTCTTCCTGCTGGCATCAGTATTACATCTTCTGTTTTCTTTTCAGCAGCGTCTGTAAGTAGCAGCAGCAACAGCAGCCCACTGGCAGGTGTGACTGTGAAGTCCCCGAATCAGAGTCTCCGCCTTGGCTTATCCAGATTAGCACGAGTTAAACCTCTCCATCCAAAGACCACTGGTAGCCAAGTGTGGTAACAAAGAAGTGTCTGACTGAGAGAATAACAGTTTTGCAAGTGTGTTTATAGTTGATTTGTATGCATAGTTGAGAAGGGAATTGTAATATAGAGGGATTCTTAACATGGCATAGAAATGATCTTTAAGATTATGATTCTCTGTAAAGTTCCTCAGGACTTTGGGAGAGGTTTTTTTATAAATTATCTTCTCATGCCATTCCTTGCAAAGAGCATACTCTGCTTCTTATGTCGTGGTCATTAGTCGGTGGTGGTTTGACATGAAGAAAGTGCGTGTTATCTGTTGCGTGATGCTCCTTCCTAGCTCCGTCTAGTTCATGACTATCATCATTTCTCTCAGGAGACTGAAATTCTAGAAGCTATTGAAGCTACACTGTCAGTTTTATTGCAAGGATGTTTTGTATTTTGTCCAAATCTTAACAGTAAAAATTAGAACTATTTTACCTATTAAAATAGTTACTGTTACTGTATAGTAAATAGAATTTAATGATATTTTACAAATTCTTCACTGTCAAAAATCTTAAATAAAAGAAAGTTTCACAATGCTCTTTTCTTTGATACCATTGCATTCACCTATCTCTCATTATCAACAGTTTATGATAAGAATGTTACAAAGAATATTAGTCTTTTTGTTGTAGACACAACTAAAGGGAAGCTGTTTCTTAAAGTAGTCCCTTAAAATTAAGCTGGTACTTTAAAGACTGGCTATGAAATACATAGTTATCTCTGTTACAGTATTAAGTAGTATAGGTTTTTAGGAAACTTCCATTTCAATTTATTATGAATAAAAATAGTAATAAATATATTTATAGTGAGAATTTCAAACTGCTCCTGATTACTTTTTAGTAAACAGAAAAAATTCAATTGTTAACCTTAAAAAGTGTATAATACTTACCTCAGTTCTTCCTCTGTTATAACATCTGTATTAACAAGAAATTAGTAATTTTGAATTATGATTAAATGAGCACTTACCTATTGCTATTGTGTACTTTTTTTTACCGAATAGATATTTTTATGCCGTCGTCTATCACCTCACCTATTCTACCCACCCATTTTTAAAACATACTTTCCAGTTATATAGCACTGAGTTCCTCTGTATGGTGTACTTCAACAGTGAACATTAGGAACCCACTCTATACCAGCTTCCATTGACTGCTTATTTGGCACCAGCCTGATGAACTCGTTTTTGCCTTATCATATTAATAGTGTCTGTTTGAAAATTACCTCAAAGTGTGTTAAAATTGGCCTAGATGATAGAGCTAATAATCTTCAACTGCCAAACTTCAGCTGATCTTACACACCCTGTTCCCTTAATAAAGCATCTTTTCCTTTGGAACATGTGGCAGCTTTTGTAATTCTCTCCCCTCCTGGCTGCCTACTCTTCATTATTTTGCAGCTTTGTAAGCTTTTGTGTCACCGACACCCACTCCTCTTACCATGCTGTCACGCTCTGTGTAATTTCATTCTTCTTCCCCTACTTACCCCCACTTTTTAGTTTAGGAGAGTTCAAACTCCAGTGGTCCCCTCTTTGACAGTGACTGCCAAACCAGCCTCTTTGGCCTCCATTATGCTCTTGACACAGACCTGTTGTGTAGTAACTCAGTCTTCACATCCCTGTCTCCCTGCTCCGAACATCCTCCCCGCTTAGGGTTTCCTGTTAGTAAATGGTACAGCCGTCAGTACAGGTGCCTGAAGTGGAGTCCTGGGACTCAGTGTATCCTGCTTCACCCTTCACACCCATAACTAAGCTGTTCCATTGTCTAAATTTCTCAGATCTGCTCTTCTATTTGCTATTACCCTGAAACCACATCCATTCCTCTTCTAACCAGCATTCTTGCCCTGATTCATGACTATTCTTGTCTACAGTCCATATTGTTGCCACAGGATGGTCTCTAACATAAAGTCTAAGCTCAAACATGCCTTGCTTACGGTACACACACACACACGTCTGGCCATCTCGTTCTCAAGCTACCTCTGCTGTCACCTCCCCACCCCAATCTTGTGTCACTGTTCAGTGCTGTTTACTGAAAGCACCAAGCATTCGCATGGCTCTAGGCCTTCAGACAGGTGGGAACCAAACTTGCTTTCCTTGCATGGCTCAGCTAGTAGGTGTCCTTGACCCAGATTAACTCACTTTCACTTGTCTTTTCTCCCTGCTCATCTCTGCACACTGGGACAAGCGTTCATTGGGTTACATCTTTCCTTCTTAGGCTTTCCTGAAACCTGGTGCAGACTAAACACTCAAATAGTGTTCATCTGATGAATAGATTACATCTGGAGTTTTTGTTCATGTACTTGTTTTGAAAAGAGGAAGGAAAGATAATTTCATGTGTCTCTGTTCTGAGGTTTCATTCAATTCTTCCCTGATCCATTAAAGAACTGGGGCAAGGGAAGGGGATAGGAGGAAGAATCTTTAGGCTGATGTGAAAGGTGGTTTGGGACTTGACCAGAGCCTGTTAGCTCCTCAGTCACAAAAAGGGTGGAAGTCGTTTCTATAGTGACGGAAGGAGGGTGTGGCCCTGCACTGCTCTGGCTGGTCAGTCCTGGCCACAGCAGTACTGGACCTTGTGCGTCTGGTGGATGCAGCTCCTCCCACCTGCTACTCCGACCCGGAAAGAGTAGGAGCTGGGAATGAGACCGTGACGGTGGGCGTAACCCTGGGGCCATCTGGGGTCCTCTGGGAAGAAGCACAGGGCGCGAGAGGCGGGAGGAGGAGAATCAAAGGCCTAGGGAAAGCAGAACAGCAGGTGTGCGCACCTGAGAAGGAAAGCATTCTTTTAGTCTTGCTGCTGGCACGTGCACCTTCAGGACCTGAAGTCATTCTACTTCCGTGTTAATAGAGCGGGGCATTGCAGACTCCAGCAGGGTGCAGAAAGGGAGGAAGGGGATTGTAGGGAGTTTCTAAGAACTGTCCTGAAACTACTTCCACCCCGACCCCAAGGGCCTGGAGCACGAAATTGCCGACCCCTCTTACTTTACTTTCTTTGCATGTGGGTTTGGCGGTCATAAGCAGGTCCGTGACACGCATCTGGCATCCACAAGGATCTGGATAGCATTAAGCAGTGCCCACCCATCCCTTATGCCCGACGCCGCTGCTCAGCGGGAAGGCAGCCCCTGGACACAAAACCGGTTGAGGGGTGGCGGGTCCCATGTCCGCAGCAACATTTTGCTCTCTGAGCGCTCCTGGCTCTCAACCTGGGGAAATACCCAGTGTTAGCAACATTTTCCTTTAAAGGCACTGAACAACACACACAGAATTTAAAAGTCTAGTTAACTTGTGGCTTTGTTATGTTTGAAATGCCCATCACACCCCTATGGCGTCTCTGACATGTCAGCATCACCAATCTTAATTCAGGCTTGACTGTTCAAGCTTCAGTGGAGACCAGACCAAGGTACAAGGCCATTTAAGTGGAAAAGTTCACACAATGGAACCACCTAATGTAAATGTCCCTTGTCTTGCTGGAGGGATTTAATCACCTGAGCTTGTAAAATCTTGGCCTTTAAAGGAATTTCGACATGGATGGTACATCATTGCCCTAAGACTGGAGCTTTCTCTAATCAGCTCTCATCCAGAGAAAAGAGGCAAACCTGTAGGAAATCTAGAAAGTAAAGCAGAACATCCACATGCAGGTTGACTCCATCATGGTTATCTATCATAGAAGGGTCTTTCCTGTTTTGTTTTTTTTCTCTGCAGTGGATGGATCCCAAGGCCTTGCACATGCTAGTACTCTACCACTGAGCTACCTCCTCACTGTGGGAAAAAGGGGTTGAAGAAACCCACAGAATCCAGGAGGTGGGTGGGTACAGGGGAGAGAAACAAGTTTTTTCTATTCCAATTTTGAACCAACAGGAACTCTCGAGTAGAAACAAGGGTGGATTTGTGCTCTGTTGTTTCACAGAGGATAGCAAGTTTGAATGGAGAGTATTTTCCTCAGTGTCATTCTGCAAATAGTTATGTACCAACCCTATGTAAAATAACAGCTGAATGTGAAGTAGATTGCGCAGATAAACAGCGTGCTGTCTGAGGAATATTCTAGCACAGACAAGTGATTGTCAGGGAAACTATAAGGAGGATTTCTTCCTGGGACAGGAAGATGGGTGGGATGGTTTCTAAAACCTTTCAGCTCAAGTTTGTGAATCACTGAATCATGAAAAATTTCAAGGATACAGGCAGAAAAGCAGAGGAGTTCTCCTTGGTACAAGTGAACGTCACTTAAATACATTATCTCCTTTTGGAAGAAGTATAAGGGGAATCCTTACTATTCCTACACTGCCACAGTTTCTGCTCCTGAGGCAGCCCTCAGGGCAGAAAGATGAAGCCACCACTGACAATTGCAGTAGAAATACTAAAGTCTAACAGGCACACCTCAAAAGAGCTTTCCTTTATGAACTGTGAAGTACTGTATACATAGATAATGTCTGTGTATAAAATATTCTTCAGTGCAGCATTGCTGGCACCACTATTTGTGGGTCAGCCTTGCCCTTGAGACTTCAAACTTCTTGAAAGCAAGGATTCTGATTTCTTTATCTTCGATTTCCTAGTTGCTGGCAGTTAATGTTCTGCTTTTTTTTGATGAATTAAATTATGTTAGGTCATGAGTTCTTCTTGAGGGCAGAGGCTGTCTTATTAGAATTGGCTCAGCAAATATTTGTAGAAAGAAGGAAAGAAAAGGAAGGAAGCAAAGAGAAGGAAGAAGTGAAACTGTGATCATTAGCAACAAAGCAACTATTACTTTGTGTTTACTGTCACATAGGATTTTTCAAATTTTTGTGTGTGTCAAAATGAATGTTCCCATAGTAGCTGGACATGGTGGTAAGACCAGGAACCTGTAGTTCCAGCCTATATTGGAAGCTGAGGCAGAAGGATCACTTGAGCCCAGGAGTTCCAGGCCAGCCTGGCCAAGAAGACAAGACATTGTACCTTAAAAAGAAAAAAAATAACATTCCCACTCACATCCCCTATCCCTGCTCCTCAGTGATAATTGTTTTTTAGTTTATTTCTTCCAGATCTTCAAATATGCATGTATAAAGATGTGCAAACATTTTATTAAATATATAACATTACACTATCCTACTAGTTTTGCTCAGTATATTTTGAGTATACATAAAATCTACCTCAGTTTTGTAAAATGACTGCAACTTTTTACAAAACACGCATGTGCCATATTTTTTAACTTCTCATTATGTGCGGGAGTAAGTTCTTATTTCTCATATTCATGTTACCATAAAAATTCACACATCTTCAGTCCTCTAAATTATTCCAGAACTGTGACGCTGCCATCCTTGCTGGAAGGTAGGGCCTGAGGAGAGCTCCCCATGGAGCACACTGCAGGGGCAGCAGTGACCTTAGTGACCTTTGTGTTAATTCTTGCTCAGCCCCTATTTCTTATATTTGTTCATTCCCTTGACTCGTGCTAGAGTCAAACTGAAAAAAACTTTTGAGGACACAGTGAAACTCCAGCAGGCTCAGCTAATGTGACAAGGAGCACACCTGCCAGGAGCCCTCTTAGAGTCAAGCTCCACTCATGCAAATCAGATCTTTGGCCAGACTCCTTGATCTTATGCAACGGCTTCAGCCTACAGTGAGTCAGTTGATTCATAGAGCTGTGCTCTGAACAAAGAAAGTGCTAACATGGCTGAATAAGACCCCGGGAAAGCATTTCTAACAATTCTCCCCCTTTTCTTTTTCTATATGAAACTATGCAAGCAGCTCCCAGTACATCATCATTGTAGAATATTGTGTTTGTTGCAAGAGAAAGATGTGCTTTTATGGGAAGCTAGAGGAAATGATCTTTTGGCTGCTGTCTTCTTCATTGGCTACCACCAACTTCCTTCTCCTCTTCCTCTTTTCCTCCTCCTTGTCCTCCTCTTGCCTGTCTCCTGCCATCCCCTGTTCTTTCTGCCCTCATCTGACCACCAGAAAGAAGTAAGAGGAGAAGCAAAGGCTCTGGCCCTGTTGTTTTTTGTTTATGTTTGTTTATTTGCTTGTTTGTTTAGTGCGGGCAATCAAACTCAGGACCTTACACTGCCAGGCAGGCGCTGTACTGCTGAGCTGTATCCCCTGCCCTCTGGCCCTGTTCTGAGGCCTACTCCCTTTTCTTCACACTTGCCTTGGTTTTGTCTATCCCTGAGTATGTGGGCCATTACTTCTATTTCATTCCTTTTTTATATAGTAAAGTAAGATTATTTATCTTCCTTTCTACAGGACTCAAATGGATGCTAAAAAGCCAAGGAAACAGAGTTTGACTTCTTTACCAATTTTGAAAACAAGAAAGAAAGAAAATTTCACCTCTGGGAAGGTAAGGATGTTTGAATTGAGTAAAAGACATTCTCTGTTTCCTGTACTGGGACATATAGGTATTTTTTCCTGTTATTTTTCTTAAATCTTTTAAATCATTCAGTTGCTGGCTGCCAGCTCTTAGACAGGCTTTCTTCTCTACCCTTTCTAGTTGTATATTTGTTTGCTGGTTTATTCTCTGGAACTGTGTTGTCCAATGCAGCAGCCTCTGGCCAGGGGAGGCTATGGGGCCCTTCACATGTGGCAAGTCCAAAGAAGATGCGCTGTGAAATGTGCTACGTAGAACAATGTGAAATATGCTACGTAGAACGTTGCAAAGATTTGGTGTGAAAAAAATAAACATAAAGTGGCTTATTAAATATTTTTTACAGTTGAGTGAACTTTATATCAATTAATACCTTGATAAAGTTGTAAAAATAATTTTGTATTGATCCACATTAAAATGGTATCCTGAGTATATTTTGTTAAATAAAATAGATTATTAAAGGTAATTTCCCCTGTTTCTTCTTACTTTTGTAATGTGCCTGTTGGAAGAGTAAAGTAGATGGCTCGAATTGCATGTGTGCTGGACTACCTGCTCTAAAGGCACAAGACATCCCTAGGCTGGCTCAGGGCTGAATACGTGGAGCCAGGACAGTGCTGGGCATCAAACATTGATGCATTCCTATGAAATGAAATCCTAGAAGATCTTTTTTCCATTTCGTTTCCTCTATAAATACTAAGTGTATGTTTGTTTCAGATGGTTATTCTAGGTGTTGGAGACACAGTGATAAATGAAACAGACCAACAAATTCTTTGTAGGAAGACCTAGTGTTTTGCTTAAATGCTGAAAGATTGTAAACTCCCTTCTCTTGGTAACCCAGGGTTGGAATAGAGTAGACCAGTTGTTTTCAGCCTTGCCATATATTTTGATTTGCCCAGGGAAGTTTTAAAGACTACTGAAATCAGAATCTCTGGACACGGCTATTTTCTACTGTGTGGGGACAGATGTCAATTTAAATGTCAGCTATGAGACCTTGATTAGGTTTCTCTGACTGCTCGCTGTGAAGTAGCCTTATGTTCCTCTGATGTGGTCCTATCAAGGAGGTAAGAGAACATGAGTTTTCTGGCTGGTAGACTTTGGGAGCCCAATAAATGTGCTTTTCCCACCAGGTAAGGTGGTTCACATCTGTAATCCCAGCACTGTGGGAGGCTGAAGCAAGATGGTTGCAAGTTTGAGCTCTGCCTGGGCAACTTAGTGACTTAGTGCTGCAAAAGGGCAGGGATGCAGCTCAGTGCAAAGGCCCTGGGTTCAATCCCCAGTACCTAAAATAAATAAATAAATAAATAAATAAATAAAGTTTTTAACCTTCTTTTCTCTCACATCTGTTAGACCCCATTCCTGTAATTCTAACCATACATTTCATTCTTTGTCTCTCAGGTATTTGCTGGTTAATTTCTTCAAACTTATCTGTCAGTTCTGTGATTCTCTCTTTGTCTATGTATATGCCAGTCAGCTTTAATATGCTATTAAGCCCATCACTGAGGTTTGAATTTTAATTATTTTCTCATTTGAAATGTCTAATCTGTTCACTTTTAAATAATCATTTGCATGATATATTTTACTCACATTTTTAGTCTTTTTATTTCTTTAGGCAGACTGTCTATGGTTATTTAAAAATTTTTATTGATAACTTCAATATTTGAATTATTTGCAGGGTAGAGATCTGGCTCTGGTGACTATAGCTTCTGCTATTTCGCGCAGTACTTCATTTCTTTGCGTATTTTGTAACTTCTAAAACCTAGTTTTGTTTTGAAGAAAAGGCAACTGAACCTAAGAGACTATGCATGGTTTGCTAAGGTCATACAGTTAGTTACTGGCAGAGCAAGAACTGAGTCCAACTCTTGGAGTCCATGTGTTTTTCTCTGCCTTATGATTCTTTAAAGATCACGGATTGATGATGTTCAGTCATCCCGCAAGTGCTGACTTTGAGCCAAGCATTGCCCTTGATGCTGGAATACAAAGGCAACAATGCACATCTTCTCAGTAGGTGGGGCGCAAGCGTGCAGACAGACAATTGACGACAGGTATAGTGAGTACTTTCACTGAGGTAGAAATGAGGGTTTCTGGAAGCCTCAAGAAAGCTTTTTAAGTCGTTGGCTACTGCCCAGGGCACTGTATCCTGCTCCTCTGATATGCCAGTCAGCCACAGGACTGCTACAGGGCATAGTAACAGGGCACATTCTTCACATTTTCTTCCAGGTGAGTGGTGCATTCTGGGTTTGTTCGAGGAATGTGAGCTAGAGGAAGAACATTTAAGGCAGAAGAAAGAACGTAGGCAAGAACATAAAACAAATCTAAACCAATAGAAACAGAGCCTTAGAAACCATCTACTGTAGCCCTGCTACATGATGCACAAATCTACTTCACAGTATAGGAACTTAGTATCCAATTTATGGAATCAACACTTGCTTTGAGAATGTTTCTATCTATTCCTTTTTTTCTGGTACTGGGAATTGAACTCAGGACCTTGCACTTGCCAGCAGGCGCTTGTGCCGCTGAGCTATATCCCCAGCCCTTATCTATTCTTAACAGTATCCACATACCACCAAATTAAAAGCAAGAATTTATGTTTAATTTGAGGCTTTTAGAAAAGTGTTTTTATAATCCCTTGTCACAGTTTCACAGCAGAACACGAAGAGGTCACTCAGATGATATGGGTGGGTGGAAGTGTAAAGAAAAAGCTACTGTTGTGTTGTCCTGCACAAGTCACTTGAATAACCTAAACCTGTTTTCTCCTCCTGTAAAATGAGATTATTGTATTTCATATTCCCTAAAGTCACCTCTGGTACCATGATTTTCCAGGGTTTAATGGAGTCCAGATGAAGATGTGTCTCCCGCAATGCCACATACTCCTTGCATTGGAAAGTGACTTCAGATGTCTGGACTTTCAGGCTTGTGCTCTTGCCTTTCCCTGGAGCATAGCCAGGGTCTCCTTCCTCCATCTTCATCAGGAGCGGAGGCTGCAGGAAGGGCCCCCGGGAGGATGCTGCGTCCTTGTGATGAGTTCCTGGTCCTCCCACATGGCTGGTCACGTTCATTCTGCTAATGGGTCTCTGGAGTCCAGACTTGGCTGTGGCTGTAATCAAGAGGTGGCTCCTTCCTGTGTAGGCACCTCAGGCTTCTTCCTCCACAGCAAAGGAGCTGTATAGACAGACTCTTAGCTAGGAGAGGCAGCAAGGGTCTGTGCTTGCGAAAGTGGCTTAACTCCTTGGCTCAAGATTGGACTAACGTCCCTCCTCTCTTCCAGCCCTTTGCAAGGCTCTGCTGAGCCTCACTGTCTAACTTGCTGTGCTCTGTACCGAATCCCTAAAGATTTTCTTCTCTCCTCATCACAACCCCTCCCTGTGTTAATGCATTTGTTTGGGGATCTTGGCTGTTCTGCCCTCTGGGAAAGGATTATAGAGCTTATGAGGAGGAAACTGTGAATTGATAGCACAGAATTTGAGCCTCATCTGCCGATCCAGCAACAACTAGGCACTTGGGAGGTTTTTCATTTTCAGTTTTGAGGGGGAAGAAGAAGAGACAAGGAAGATCCACCTGAGAAAGAATTGTCTGTAAGGTACAAGTAAGACAGGATCATGTGGTGAAACGGTGGCTTTCTAAGAAGGCTGGGTGGCCTAGGGGAGGGGACCAGGTGGTCTGATACCTGCCGAGGGCCAGGTTACTCTCTCTGCCAGACTTTACAGATGAGGACACCCAGGGCCCTGTCCACAGCATCTCAAAATTCAGCTCTAAGTAGTCCTGAAGGCACAAACCCTGCTGCCCCCCAGAGTGAGGCAGGGCGTATATTCCCCAGGCCTTTGGGTAAGTGGCACAAAGCTCTCACCCAAGGACAGGGAGCATCTGCAAGTCAGCATCCATCCAGCCTGTGGGATATGAATGCAGACTAGGGGAGGGGAGGCAGGATGCTCTGGTTAGAGGACGCTGATGTGGGACTTGGGGTTCCATCCTTCTGTGAACCTCTTTCCTCCATGCTGGCAGTGGCTGCATGACTGGTCAGTGTGATTCATGATGGGAATGGGCTTCTGTCTGATTGGGTTTGTGAGACATTTGTGTCCTAGAATGAACCACCCAGTTCCCTAGCACCTGAAATATCTTCTGTGAGTAGAGATTCACTTATTTGGACAAACCCTTTCTTTTCGAGGCATTCCCTTTGAATATACAGTTGCCTTGGAGGGGGATATGGGCATATGGGCATCTCCAGTGTGAATAGCATATGAAAAGAATTTTTTTCCCAAGAAGACATGCCAGGGAGCAGGAGGGCAGTGGACCCTGGTGGGAATGGAAGTCACTGTGGTGTGGTAGCCATAAGGTGACACTGGGGAAAGAGACTGACCTTGTAGAGGTGGGCTGAAGTCAAAGCTCATCTGCCTCTCAAATGGCTTAGAGTTGTCTTGCTTCCCAGACAAATGCTAGGGTGCCTTGTTTCTCCCTACTTCCTTTCTTGCTTTTCCTTCCTTCATTCATTTAGCAAATATGTCAGTGCTTACTAATGTAAGAAGCCATATTAAGCTTTGAAATCCTAGAATGAGAACCGGATCTTTTACTAAAGAATCTGATGGTCCAGCAGAAAAAAGATATGAGACAATCTTGTCCCACACACTTTTGTGGGTACCTTGACAGGAGCCAGTACAGAGCATAGGGGGCTTGAGGGTTACAGAGGGGATGTTTGCAGAGGCTTCCTGGACAAGCCTGTGCCTTGGCTGCAGCTCACATGGGTAAACTCTCTGAGTCAAGGAGGGCAGCATGGAGCAGGGGAAGGGGTGCTAAGTGGGAGCTAGGAGAATAGTCCAAGCAGACACAGCAGCAGCAACAATGTTGTGGTGTGAGCAGCATATGTTGGAAAACCTCAAGCCTTCTCAATGGCAGGAGCTAACATGGCAGGCAGGGCCATGCCAAGGGATGGAGCCAGGTGGTTTGATGTGTCAGGGGAGTCACAGAGGGATGTAGGCTTCCCT